GGGAGATACGAGGGTACGGGACTGCTCGGTTGCTCAGTGTGCGGGTCGTGGAGAGAGGGGTGGATTCGTGGACGAGAGCATCAATTATCCAAATTCGAAATAATACCCAGAACCTGAACTAAAATATTCAGGAAGTTACAAGGCCGGGGGTACGGGTAGGAGAAATAAAAACCAATCGAAGATATCCTTACTTGTTCCACTATTGATCAGACAAAAAAAAATGAATTTTGTCCATTAGGAAGCTTATAATTAATATAGATTGCTCGGTTTAAAGTTTCTATACGACTAGCGTTAGGGAAAAAAAAGGATTTATTTTTTAATACAATATAAAGGGAACAATAATAAATGGGAATTTTATAATGCAGTACTGAAGAGAGAAGGGCTTTTAACTTGATTAAATTAATTATGCTATCCAGGTGGGAAAGGTAGGAAACTGTAGGGTATCCTATTCACGAGAGGGAGAGATAGCGTAGGGGCTCGAGCGAGAGAGAGAGAGAGAGAATCTGACCCGAATTTTCCTACCGATCCGTTGATAGGGCCTAAATTCTTTTAGGTAGCCTTATTCAGTCGTTCGGTAACGACTTTATTGGATTCGGTAGCCCAATCCTTACTGCTTCACTAAATTAGGAATATTGGTCGGTTAGGTAGCAGTTGAGGTAACGGGATGACCATTTCGGTAGCGGAAATGGGCCGCCGATATCGGGAGTCATTAGGTGGCTTAGTTCCCTCGTTAGGTAGCGTTATCCGGGGCTTTGGTAGAGGAATCGGTGATCTCTAGCGAAACCTGCCTTACCTACGGGGCCACCACCATGCCGGGTGTGTAATAAAATTTCCACGTAGCGGAAAGGTCCTCCGATGCAGGCAGCCCTTAGGTACGTGTTTTCCCGGTTAGGTAGCCTACTCAACACCGATTATCTAAATCAATAGGGTCCGCAGGGTAGATATCCGTACAGGTAGCCAATCGAAATATTGAAAATTACGGAAAGGGCCTCAGACCCTGGCGAATGTATAGGTAGCCTATTCCCCTGCTTAGGTTGCGTAATTTGGGTGTTTGGTATAAGCTTTTCCGAGCACAGGCTAAATCAACAACCGTGCTGGGGCAGATAGCCGTGCCCAAAATTTCCCCGTTTAATCATTGAGGGATTAATTATTGACTCAATGGTTTTACCGGTCTGAACGGCGAATTATTAGTTAATCAACTGATTACATCCCTAACGGATTAATTAATTATGCATCCGATGGCGTCTCCGAGACTGCCAATAATTAATCGGATTAATAAAAGTAATCATAATTCGCGCGAGGTAGCTTGATAGCATTTGTGAATTCCATCCATGAAAATTTATTATTACGAGATAGCATCCCCATGCCCAACCGGAATCCACAAAATGGCGGATAATTACGTCTCGGGGAGCATTATTGCATCACCCAGGGGAGAGATTTTGCCCGTTTTTCTTGACATAAAACTTATTTTTTTGCTCCCGTTAGGGGGCGTGAATAACAGACATTGTATGCAGGTTTTGTGAACACGGGCGCGATGATAATTCAAATTAAGGCCCGGATAGAGGGAATTTTTTCTTGATTGGCGATTTTACGCCCTCCTACTTCGCGGTCAAGACCCGAACCTTGATCTCAAGCGATGCCTTGTCGGTAACTACGGCAATCGCTGGAAACCAGGGAAACATTGGACGGTGGGGCTTTCGAGGGCGCCGGAAAATTTTTTCATTCCCTATGCCACTAAGTGGCATGAGAGATTTATATCTCAACAGAATGGA